TGGCAAAGCAGCAACACAGCCTGAGATCTGCAGCAGAGGGCAAAGACATATTGAAGCCACTTGCTAACAAGGTATTTTGCCTTAGTTGCTCATAGATGTTCAATGATCTTACTACTACATTAAAGTCTGTAAATACTGAACAGTCTAAATCTGTAAAAACTGTCCAAGCTAAGGACTTTGCTTTTTTAAAGCAAAGATACTCTGCCCTTTGTGAAATCAGGGACTGGAACGCATTGCAGCCCTTGGAGAATATCATCAAGTGTCTGAAGTGCCTCAGTGGATCTCAAGCACCAATTAGCACAGCAGAAGTTGTATTTAAAATGGTCTTCACCTGAGAGAGGCTGCAAAAGTCTTCTGACCTGTAACTGAGTCATAATGAAGAGAAACAAACCCTCATGTAATATCTGTTCAAAAGTCATCAGGAACTATGGAAAACCAGAGACTGGTATGGTTTAAATAGTGTTTGACTTCAAAACCAAACATTTGCAGAAAACATAATAGAATAAATTATTGAATATTTAACAGATGAACTGAATTTTGCTTCAATGTATATATTTTGGATCCTGAAGGTTTTAACTGCAAGATTTTATTATAAGGTCAACTGCAAGACTATAAGGTGAAGGAATGGTTTATGTCTGAAGCAGATTACTTAAAATACTATGTTTCTATGTATGTATCTATGTATGCATGAATCTGTGTATGTATGTATCCATGTGTCTATCAACCTCTGTCATGCTAATTCTAGACATGCTAGAATTAATAGTCAAAAAGAGCAGATAAAGATACCTTATTGCTGAGATGATCAGTTAATTAAATCACATATTTTTAGACTGAGATTAAAACCCCACAATAGTAGATATTTTTTTCCCACTTGTGTAGATCGGGAAAGAAGAAAGAGAATGAAAGGTATGAAATAAAATACACCCCATAGGTTTTCATGACCTCCAGCATCAGTTGCTTTGCTGCTTCCAGGTAATGCTGTCTAATTTTTAAGTTGCAGCTCATCAGTCAAGTGGAACTGATACTGCTAAAAAACTATCAGCTTTTTGCCATAATAAATAAAAAATTTACTATTTATGAAAGAGTCCTATAAAATTATATACAGATTCAACCCAGGAAGTTTTTTTATATGCAATGACAGTCCATAAATTATGAAAAGTAAAAACATGGGATTTGGCACAACACGATCTTATATCTGGTTCTTTCCATAATTCCATAGTAGTGATGTGATGTTTAAGAAAATCTATCTTCTCAGGATACCTGTATAGAATCAAATTAGTCCATTTTTATGTAAGAGATAACTAAAAATGTCATGTTAATTCTGGTACAGTTTATATGTCAATCATCTGAACTCCACAAATTCTTGAAATTAGTGGCTTTTGGTGATGCCATTCATCTGTGCTTTACAGCACTGTTTTGAATAAGTGTGGTTATGCACTTTGGGGTAGGTTCTTTGTGTTCTCGCTCTTTCATGAACTGCTTTTATAAGCACTTTTGAAGAAAATGGTGAGAAATTATGTTTGGGTTTGACCAAGAGGGTATCTGTCTTTATTTTATTCTTCCAGAGTAGAGAAATGGTCACTTAGTTTGGGAAATGTTAAGTTTTATTAGTTTCTTATTAGATTGTCCTTGCTAGTTTTAACAATCAAGCTTTTCATTATTGGGTAATTGTTGTTATGGAAAGATGAGGGATATCTGGCAATGGGACTTTCCTGATGGATGCTCAGAGGTTGGGAAGCTCTTGGATTAGCTAACTCTTGGATTAGCTAACCTCTGTTGGTTATTCCCTTCCCAGAACCCAAACTATCTAATCAATCCATTCTTAACACTGTTCACTCTTATCAGAAAGTTCTTCTGAATGTCTGACCTGAACCTCCATTACTGCAAACTACTGCCCTTGCTTGCTTTTTCTGCTGGACACAGAGAACAGATGTGGTCTCCTCTGCTTTTTGTATGACTAGTGTGGTTGAAATTTTGAAAGAATAGTTTGAGGATTTGGAGTAGAGAGCTGACATTCAGCAGGCAGGTTGGTATTTTTGTCACATCTCTCATGACTTTTCCAGACTAAACTGCCCCAGTTGCAATTTCTCATAGGTCATATGCTACAGATCTTCTCATTATCCTTCCTGTTCTATTTTGGGTTCTCTGTAAATTTCTTGCAGAGTGGTTCCAACACAGGACTACATCTGCAACTTTACTGCTGTCAGGAAATATAATGCTGAATATTACAGATCTCTCTAGTGTATATATCTCAGTATAAACTTTGTCTAAATGATTCATGTTCTCTGCCCTCCTTCCTATTGTCACAGATGAAACACAATTTAAGAAAAATCTCTTCCCTATTTACATTTAAACTATGTTGTTATCCGTCCTATCTCTTTTTCCATTTCTGGCTTTCCAGATACACACTCCAATCCCCTTAAATCCACACCAAGCTAAGACTGCCTTTCTTGCACATATTTGTATTGCATTCACTTCTATCCATTTTCAATCTATCTGGTGCCTTCCCTTTCCGCCAGCTCAATTTCAAATTTTTGGACTCATCATCAGTATTCTGTCACACTATCTTTTCCAGTATTACAAGTCTCCAATACTTTTTCTCTTCACACTTCTTGTCAACCTTTATCTTTCCATTTGTCAATTTTTCATGCAAGTGCCTTCACATCTCTTTCCTCATATTATTACAAATGCAAACCTGCCAAATAAAACATAAAAAGATCATACTGTAAACCACATTCGAGTGATTGCTGGGGCTTCCCGTTTAATATTTTAGGTACCAGAAACTTAATAACCGGAGGATTTTATTATCTGGGTAAAGGCACACACTTTATTTAAAATAAAACACCTACTTATGCACTGTAAAATGATTACCTGCTAGCTAGTTTAGCTTTTACCAGTTATTAAGAGTGTTTGACCCTAAGATCTTACCTCTGTTGCTTATAACTTTGCCACCTTTGAATCCTTTGATCTGACATGTTTTGAAGAAAAGCATCTTCTACCCACTGAGAGGTTATAGAATACTGCATAATGCAGCTGTTTCTGGAAAACATGTTAATAATGCCCTGCAGGTATTCTGGGACTTTTTATTTGAAATATGCAAGAACTTTCATGATTGAGAGGAGAGATTTAATATTTGTTTGGAGGTTTGGTACTCCCAATGGTGATGTGCTGTTTTCTGTATTCATGAAAATTGGGCAAATTTGGTTATGGATACAAGTTACTTCATATGTGTCAGGACCCTGGGGGCACTAAAAGACCTTGAAGGCCCTGAGAAGCCTCATCTGGGGGCTCCACCCCACACCCTCTGCCCATGGGCTCAGGGGCTCTATTTAAGCTTCACCACCACTCACACCTTCTCCCTGAAGAACCTGTCCCTGGATCTGGACCTAAGGATGCTGCCCTCCTTTTTGCCAAAGGGATGTGAAATGGTGAACACTGAGAGTATTCACCCACGGAAGCACATTTGATCTTCAGCCAGGTCTTGAAATGTAACAGCCTCTCTGCAATAATGTTCTGCTTATACATTAATTGTTCATTTTTGTGCAATTGTAAGGAGAGAGCACTGAAAGTAGTTAAAACAGAGACTTCCATGCTGTGGCAATAACTGTATGATCTTGAATACCATTGGCATCAGACTTAATTCTTAGACATTATAATTATGTGAGGGCTCATTTTCTGTGAGTTTGCTCTCACTCGTCTTCCCTACTTAATGTACATTATAATATTTAGTACTTTTCTTCCAGGCTTGAATAGGAATATTGTATTAGGCAAGCAGGTGATGAGATTCTGCTCTCTGTTCCAGTTAGTGTAATTCCACCAATTCTGGTCGAGTTACTAGGATTTGCTGTAATTTAACTGCAATCAGAATTGAATTGTGTTCGTTTAAGAAAGAAAAAAAGTATCTCTGGATGTTCATTTCATAGACCTTCTTTTCTGTCATAATGGAAGTCGTTAGTGTGTATTCTAGTTTCTGTTTCATGTTTGTATTTCAGAGCCTTAACATCCCAGTAACGACTTTATTCTCTTCATCCTGGTGTTAGCAGGTAATTCAGGTAGGAAATTAAAAAGAGCTGTGCAGTGAACAAGCCTGGTAAGCAAAGAATCTACTTAACATAAATGTCTGCATCATCTTTATTGATAAACAAATGGAGAAGCATCTATTTCTTCATACTTCTATCAGTTAACTACATGTTTTGAGAACAAAAATCTCTTGTTAAATGATAACTTGAGATTTAAAAAAAAAAATTAATTTATGAAATCTGTGCTCCTCTAGGAGTTTAGTCCTCCAAACAGTTAAGTAATTCATGTTGAAATGCCACATGAATAGCACAGTTTAGTAAGCAGTTGCTGAAGTGGTCAGAGCTGCATCATATTAGATGTAAAAACCTTTAGTTAATTTAGTGATAACGTGCATTAATTCAGACTAATATAAGGATTAAAAGTAAGATAATGGAATACTCTGGGTTTGTAGGAAACATACACGTAGAACATACACACTCATATCCTGAGTAGTATGCACACACATACACAGTTCTCCACAAAGACAATCTGTACTAAACAACAATATGATAATGTTCAGGCATTTTGAGGTAGACATAGTACAGGTGAATTTGCTACCTCGCTATAATCCGTGATTTACTGGCACTGTTTTTATAGCACTACTCTTAGTTTAATCAGATTTTTTACATCATCAAAAAAAAAAAAAAACAAACCAAACAAACCCAACCAGAAGCTTAATGTGTAATGTCTAAACCTGAAAGTTTTAACTCTTTGTCCTCTTGCCTTTGCAGCATATCAAGCATGCCCTAGACATAAAAAGGAAGACAAAACTTCTCCTCAATACAGCAATTATTTTGTCCATTTAACTTAGTTTTCATACTATAGTCCATTTGTGCTTTGCCATGTTAATATATACTACTTTTTACATTACCTTGGAATTCTTGCAATGAGGATACAGTATTTTCTGTTAATAACCAAAATGAAAAATACATATTTGTCACCTTGTGTTGAAATCTGGATGTTTCCCGAGCTTCCTCTTCTGTGCCGTGTTTTTGGCTGCCTACCATCTTCATTACTGTGCTTCTCTTGCACTTTTCTCTGCAGCTATCACACTTGCCTTGAGAGAGCCTTGGTGGCTCTGAACTGCACAGCAGAATTCCTGCTTCTTGCACTTAAAAAGAGAACTGAGCAAAGGTCATGCCAAGTTGTTCTTGTATGAATGTCCCAAGGGAGGTAAAAGATCAGCTCAAAGTAATCTGCTGTGATAAAGGCGTTTAGCAGAGGAAGTCCCAAACCTTGCTGGGTTGTTTTTCTTCCTCAAAAGTAAGCTCATCCTTTACTCCCTCCCCCCCTCTTTTTTCCCCCCTGCAGGATTTAAATATGCTTGTTATGCTTTGCTGTGGGAAACAGATGCGTTCTTGTTATGGCCAGGGATGAATGTCAGGATTGAACTCGCATCCATGAAAAAGTCTTTTGTTTGATCTGCACTGTCCCACAGTGGAGCTATGGCAACAACTTCAGCTGGGGAAATTAACTGTATCACTGTGTACCCCCTCAATTCATGGCATCACCTGAATGACAAACATGCCACTGTTCACATGACAGCTGACAAAGAGCAGTATTTAGTTTTAATCAATAGGAATAAAATCCAATCAATTAAAAAATCCAAAGCATGTGAAAGCTAGGTATGTGTGAAGTGCAGTAGCACTCTATTTTTATTCAAACTGAAGAATTTAATGATATTGCTATTTTATAAATGTTTCTCTATTGTAGCTTAAAAAATTTAGTAACTTGTGAATTTGAATCTCACATCATGCTTGGTGATGTGATCTTGTTTTGTGCACGTGTTTAAAAAAGAATTAAACCAGAGAGTGGCACACTGCACCGAATGAGAGGCTGTCTGTAGGTGTCATGGTTTAACCTGGCAGGTAATCAACCACCACACAGCCACCCATCCCCCAAGTGTGATGTGGGAGAGAATTGGGGGAAAAAACCGTAAAATATGAGGGTTGAGATAAAGACAGTTTAATAGGACAGAAAAGGAAGGGAAAACAAGAATAACATTAATTAGAATATACAAAACAAGTGATGCACAGCACAATTGCTCACCACCTGTTGACTGATGCCCAGCCAGTTCCTGAGTAGCGGCCTCTGAACAGCTTTCCCCCTAATTTATATACTGGGCATGATGCCATATGGTATGGAATATCCTCTTGGCTAGCTGAAGTCAGCTGTCCTGGCTGTGTCCCCTCCCAGCTTCTTGTGCCCCCCAGCCTCCTCTCTGGTGGGTTGGGGTGAGAAGCTGAAAAGTCCTTGACTTAGCGTAAACACTGCTCAGCAACAACCAAAACATCAGTGTGTTATCAGCATTATTCTCATCCTAAATCCAAAACACAGCCCTGTACCAGTTACTAGGAAGAAAATTAACTCTATCCAGTGGAAACCAGGATGGCAGATCAGACAGGCATTCTTCCTGTAGCTGTCAGTGTGTGGGTTTGCTACACTTAAGTGGGCCTAATAACCAGCTAGTGAGAGAGGGGGTCTCATTCTGTCTGGGAATGGGCATTCTGGCTGTCAGGGTATCCATCCTCTTTGGCATCAGGGATCTGCCTAGAGAGTAGAAAACAATCAGTATATTCAGGCCAAATAATACTAGTTCACACTTCTGCAACAGCATATCAGCTGTAAGGACAGAGTCCTGTGGTGCCACCTGCCTTTTTAAAAAGCTGGAGTCAGGGCCTGCAGATTTTCATGAGCAATAAATGCTTCTCCACAACATTCTGCAAATGGAGATGGCAGGATTTTTGGGTAATGGCTGGCCAACAGTGATGGTTTTGGACAAAAGATTGAGGTTAATCTGTGGTGAAACAGCACAAACCTCACCAGTTTCCCTGGGTTTGTACATGCACAGGCAGACTGATCTATGCCCTTTTAGAGGAGAGGAATCGTAAAGCTTCAGTTGTCTTAACTGAGGACTTAAAAAACTTTTCCATCTATACTTGAAACTGAAATATTTCCTTTTCTGGACACTGTTCTTGCTCCTCAGCTGAAGGCTGATGTGTAATACTCTTGACAAATGCAAGTGAAGGTATCTCTGCAGCACCCAAATGAACAGAACATACTCCACCTCCCCACCCTGACAAAGTCAGGGGTATGCAAGGGCAAAGCTCTAATGGATTTTTTCTCAGGGCCCTCCACCGACTTGGCCTCTCAAGAAATCCAGTCTGGAACTATTTTTTTTTCATGTCTAGCAAAGAAGATAAAAAAAAAAAAAGGACAAGGGATTTGGGAAATAGGAGGCATCCATTATAATGTAACTATATATAGTTATATGTAACTACATATTCATGTATATAAAACTATATATAATATATAAAGTTCACATATGTGATATATTTATATACATATATAACCCCCCATATTTTGTGACTAAACTGACCACCAACCTGTCTCTGAGCAGACTAAGGAGTAATTTACTTAAGTTCCTGAAACTTGTGACAGAGTATAATGCCTACTTTAAATATGTAAAAAGGAAACCATGGTTCTTATGGATCCTCGTCTGTCATGATCACTGTTGGAGCTTCAGTGGTTACCTGTCCATGGAAATCGTGTGGGAAATGCCCGTTTCTCCCAACGGGGATTGATCTACCGCTGATGATGTTGCGGGTGCTCCTTGACCCTCACACTGCAGTCTGACTCCAGCTTTTAGGCAACTGGCATCAACCACCGCCTCCTCCCAGCTCAGGTGCTGCATTTATACATGGTTTTATACATGATATTTATACATCACTATTTATGACACGGCATTTGAACATGGCTTTGCCCCAGCTGCGGCACCGAACCAAGTACGGGCTATGGGCCCCTGCAGCATGTGGAGCCCTGCTCAGATCCC